AAATTTCTGCATTCAAAAAAAAAAAAAAGGCTTACATTTTCATTGTCAAGCTGGTTACTTTTTTCTGCTATGTGAGCACTAGTGACTGTAGGCAAAACTAGGTCTTCAGATATTGGTATAAAAATCTCAGGGAAATGAATGGGAATATCACTTATTGTTTTCATCAGAAATAAAATAAGTTTGCCTATAGAAAAGAAATTAGTGGAGCGTTACATTAGATATATAAATCGATACATATCGGTGACAAACGTCAAGATTGTATACTGAACTGTCACTTTGCACAGTACTAACTCAACTGTTTACTAGAATGTATTACAGTGACTTCTTCCGGAGGAAATTTCCTCAAGAGAAATATAACCCATTTTTTAGTATGCTGGTTTAGTAAGCCTGTGTTTATATATGCTATTTCTGAATTTAAATATGCAAACATTACAGTCACCTTCCTCCTGTTTTAGTAAGTCTGCTATCACAGCCTCTCTTTTTAAAGAAAGCATCTAATATAAAGCCAGCTTTGATTTTAAGGAGTCTGAGGGTGTGAGTAACATGTAACACCAAAAATAGTGGGCAGGCCAAATAACTGGAATGTGTACTACACAATTCATCAGGGCGTTGGGCAAAATCCAGCTCACCATGAAAATCTTGCTATGTAGAAAAATTAGGAGGACTTCTTTGGTCCTGAGAAGTGCTGCCCATGCCATCTGCTCAACAGAGCAATGTGGCTGCTGGAGAGGAATGATACTGACTCTTTGAATCAGGAGCAAAGCTTCAACTTCCTACCCAGTGATGGGGTTGAATATGCTTATGGGGTACACAACATCTCAACAGTTTTCAAATCGTGAACAGAATTGCTTTGGAACATCTAAGTCAGGTACCCATGAAGCAATGGGTGATTTGACACAATCAGTTATGTGGTATAGCTGACCTTACATAAATAACCTGATTTATGGTTTTTTCTTTTCAGTTTCCAAAACGGTTCATTTTAAATAGGAGTAGACTCCTCAGAGGGACTGATCTAGAGCACTAACCTATTGCTACAGTCACCGTTTTAGTGGAATTTCTTATATAGTTCAAAATAAAGTGGGACTTGGTTCTGGTGCAGTCTTTTTGCACAAAGAAAAGAGATTATGTCAGTTCCTTCAGGTTAAAGCAATCCACTTGGTATAGATATTTGCACTAGAAATAACGGCATGCTTTTAATGGAAAGGACAAGTAATAAAAGGAACAGTTTATCAGGTGTTGCAGTGAGGTCTCTGCCACTGGAAGTTTTAAATTCAAAATCAGACAATTTTCTGTAAGATCTGCTCTCATGAAAATGGAATAAAGTGAGAGAAGTCCTTTGATTTGCTTCATGCAGATCAGGCAAGGCAGTCACGTGTGGTGTGCGATCATGTAATCCATGAGCAATTAGCAGATGACACCTTGTTTTGTCATTTTCTTGATGCAATGTGGATAAACATATTGTGATACTACAGACAGATTTAATGTGTTTTAAAAAAAAAGTGGATTGGCATTCAAAAACTACAAACAACAGGAAACGTCAATTAGGTACTCTGTAGTACTTATTAGGAGTAAAAATAGACATCATACAATAAATTACTTGAATATTTCAGTAAAAACCAGGACTCATTAGGAGCCAAAGGGTAGGTTTATGTCTCCTGAACACTACAGTGAATCATATCTGTTGGTGGCGGTGATGACTAAATGGGAACTAGAAAGAGAAATCAGTAAATAAATAACATTTTCAATGGCAACACTTTTTCTTTTTCCTTTAGAATTTCACAAGTTATGGCAATGACACCGATGTCAGCATGTCCCAGTCTGCAGTTCTGGGTGACTTGGCAAAATACAGCCATTATACTCTATGGTTAACTGCAAGTACAGCTTTTGGAGATGGAAACAAAACCAGTGAAATAATAGACGTGTATACAGATCAGGATAGTAAGTTAATAACTTTTGTAATGCGCGGTGTGTATCAGTGCTTCTATTTATTAAATCTTCTCAAACTTTAAAATTGTTTTACTGTTATAATGGCAAAGTTAAAAAAAATCAGTAAGTACTATTTTCAACACTACAGTATTTTTCTTTGCAAGGAAGATATTTTGATCTGAGTCTGCTTTGTAATACTGAGAACGTAGTTCAGAAGTTTCTTCTTTGGATACGAGCAATAAAAATATTGTCTTAAACCCATCATTAAGACTCTTGTTAAATAAATTTGACATAAATGATTATTCATATATGCCTTCTAAATATTTTGCTTTTGATAGTGAAACGTTAATGATTTTTTAAAGTTGCACAAAATACTATAAATTAAATTTACAGACTAATCATACTTCAGGCATTTATTTCTGCTTTGGTTTTGGATGCTTCATTACTGTAATCCATACATTTATTTCTTGCTTATTGTCTCTCATAGTCCCAGATGGTTCTGTTGAAAATCTGGTCTATCAAAACATTTCCTCATCTTCTGTAAATGTCAGCTGGCTTCCACCATCGCAGCCAAATGGCTTAGTCTTCTTTCATGTTTCTCTAAGTTTATCGCAACTGGGAACCAGTAAGATATTGTCTTTCCTCACTTACAACACAAGCATCATTTTTGAAAATCTGGAGAAATATACTGATTACATTCTGAAAATCACACCAGCCACTGGTAAAGGATCTTCTGAATTGCACACTCTAAGTCTGCATATAAGAACTGATGAAGATGGTAAGATAAGTATATTTTATTCATTCCTAGGGAAATGTAGGAAAAGTCCAAATAGCTTCTAAAAGAAAAACGATTATTGTGTTTATTTTTCTCATGTTACTTAAAGCTTTTTGTTATATAGTGCCACAAACAACTGCTACACATTTCTGTGTGGAGTCTATGAAATTGAATTTTCTACTCAGAGCACAACTTTAACTGATAGCTAAAAGACATTTTTTATTGTAACTCATATTTTTTCTGAGGCTATCCTTGTTTTTCTTTTTCTTATTTCTTCTCGTAGTTCCAGAATCAGCACCTGTAATCAAAACATTTTCAAATCTCTCAACTACCTCAGTTATGCTTTCATGGGACCCTCCCATTAAGCCAAGTGGTATTATAATAAGTTATGATTTAAATTTATTTGGGCCAGAAAGGAATAACTCAATCTCTACCACCAATAATTCAATCATCTTGGAAGACCTTCTCCCATTCACATTATACAGCATTTATGCAGCTGCAAGAACAATAAAAGGACCTGGTCCATCTGCAGTGCTTCAGTTCTACACAGATGAATCAGGTGAGTAAATTTAACTGTAACCAACTTTGAAATATTGGCCCTATGTTACTGCATCCATCTTAGATCTGAACATCAGATCTGGAGCGAGTTGAGATGAAAGATTAATTTTCCATTAGTCTGTGCGTGAAGAGCTTTCAGAGAAAGGAAACACTATAAGGAAAGTATTTTCTGAATTCTCCTCCTCCCATCACTGTGTGTGAGAGGAGGTCACATTCTGCATAAGATTATAAAAATAACTCTAAGGAGAAATGCCTTTTGCCTTTGGAATGTGTTACAGTTTGCCAAGTGTCAGAGATTCTGAAGCAAGCAACAGTACCTTTCTCTTCCTCCCCCAACGTAATTGAAAAATTATAAAACAGGGAAGTCTTTCTGACACATTCTTGTAGGTCTCATGTACATGGACCTCCTCTCACCTGCATGTTAAATGACCTATCTTGTAAATATATATTGAGTTGCACTCAATATATGATGTAGGAAGCAAAGTATTTCACATTCCAGTAATATGTGTAATGCAACATTTTTTAGATGCCTTAGTTCTGATGATGAGGATGTTCAAGTGATTAACAGATTTCTTAGATCCCTTGCTGACTAAATGTATTCCCAATTAATGGGATTTGTTTCATGCCAAAAAGAAATAAAAATATTAAAATAGCAATGAAATACTGTTTTATTGAGTTTGAATGCAAATGGTAACAAACATACATATGTTCTGCTTCTCCAAAGTGTCTGGTTTTGCCTGGATTATTTATAATTTGGAACTCAGGAGCATTTCTCTTTTGCAGTGCCATTAGCTCCACCCCAGAATTTGACCATTACCAACTACACTGCAGATTCTGTGTGGCTAAAATGGGATCCAAGTCCTCAGCCAAATGGTGTTATTATGAGATATACTTTTAAGATTTATCAAAACAACACTGAAAAACTATTTTATCAGGTATGTTTACAATTAATAGTGTTTAATTTTTTTTCAGATAAATACTTTTTTCATGCTTTCGGAGCAAAATATATAACAAATATTTCAAATGTCTATTATGCTCCTAGAATTATGAAGTTGCTCTGAATTGCTATTTGTTAAGACAGTTTACTTATCCTCCATGCCTGTAATTTAATTTTTAAAATTAGATAGAAAAAAATCGTTAGATTTTAATTTGCTTTGAGCTTCTAATATTTCATTAATGATAAGATTTATTAATCTTTAGTTCATACTTCCATTTAAGTTTAGTGTTAGAAAATGACAGAAGTTACTTGTTTTGTGGCTTTGTTTAGCTATTCAGTATCTGCGGACTTCCGAGATTAAAAAAGAAAGAATGACATTCCTAGTCATCTTGAAAAATGGTTAAAAACTTTTTAGAGGTTTGTATTTTTTTATTTTTGCAGAATAAGAATAACTGAATACATTTTAACTGAAATAGATGCTATAAAATTACATATAAAAATCCATCAAGGCATTTATATCTGCTTAAATCTGGTTGCTTGGATGTCATCAAGAAATGCACCATGAACTGTAAAGGCAGCAAGCTGAGGCCAGGATTGCAGCTCAGGCTTAGAAGCTGTGTAGTGACTTGGGTTCACCCAAGACACTTGTAAAAGCTGCGGGGAAAGACATGGCAGCAGTGAGCTTCAAGTTTAAGACATGCAGTGTAAGGTAGGCATGGGACTGTGAGGAGCTCCATTGCTCCAGCTCCTTCAGCAGTACAGTCCTTATTGGAGAGATTTAGCACACAAGGGAAGTGCTTGTGCTGTTGTCAGGTGTATGCATTGTGGAAATCAGTCCCCATGGGGTGGCCTACTGTGCTATCCCTTGTGCAGTCTGCTGTTATTCGCCATTGTGGAATGAAGTGCTGGTGTCACCCAGTTTCTCCCATAATCCTTGGAAGAGGGAGAGCACAATGCACATGTGGAAGGGGAACAGTGGTTTCTCCAGCCACCTGCCTTTGGAAGCACATTCTTTGGGTGCTCATGGAGGCCACCAAAGGTCCTTCTCCACTGTCCATCTGAGGCAGACTCAAACACAGTTAGAACACAGAAACTGGCTGGAGCACTTAAATGCATCTGCTATGTCCTATGTTTCTTCATATTTTGTAATGTTATATGGGCAAGAAATTAGATTTAGGTTGTGACATCAAGACAGGCAGAGCAATTTATATAGAAATATTGTAGTTAGGCACAATAGTTCTCTGATAACTTGAATCTCACAAGATGCTCACCAGGTTTTCTTGCTGAAATTTCTTTCCCTGCTGCTGTTATAGTCCTCTCAACATTTGCACAAAATACGCCTTGCATGCACAGGGAAAAATGGCTACCAGGAACTGAACTGTGCTTTTTAGCTTTTTTTGAAGCTCTTCTTCAGCCTGTGCGTCTGGCTTAGGTAAAGTAAAATAAATGAGGACAGAATCATGACCTCTTCCACTGCAAAGGTGTAGTAACAATGTAGAAGGTGAGAGGGTGGTGATGTGGCAGTGTGGAGGTGACAAGAGTTTTCATTATTGGTAAAAAAAGACATATGTGGAGTTAATATGTTCTAATAATGCTATGGTAATTATGATACCATCCTTTGGCATATCTTCCTCACAAGCCACAGTGAAAGAGGGAGAGAAGAAAGGAAAGGAAAAGTTTAACCCTGCATTCTTTTTCACTGAGCTCAGGGACTACTTTGACTGAAAGCTACTCAGAGTAGAAGAGGCAAGACTATGGCTCTAAATCTTCTGTTAATTTCCGTGGGTTCAAGGTGGGACCCACAATGTTTAGACAGATTAATTGTGTACTAATAATTTTTCCTTCCTTAAGAACATTTCAGGTTCCAAACATGAGGCAAACCTTGTTGGATTAGAACCATTCAGCCCCTATTTTATCAGTGTCTCTGCATTTACCAAGCTTGGGAATGGCAATCAGTTCAGTAATGCTGTCCAGTTTACAACGATGGAATCAGGTTAGATGTGACCTTTTGTAAGATGCAGTTCTGTTTATGTATATTTTCCTTGTATGGCCGAACAACAGTTTTCCTCTCCTCTACAAAGAAAACGTCACATAACACTATCTCAATGTCTTCTGCCTGTGTAACACTGATTCACATTCCTTTTGTACCGGATAGTCTGGGTTTGAAGTTTGATGTCGGAAGTGTAGAATTAGAAATGTCCTCATCTGAAATGAGAGGATTATATGGTTACTATAAATCTTTTAATAGCATCACAGATAAAGGGAGGAAAATTAGATAGATATCAGTTTTTGCAGATCAAAGTAATAATTCAGATCCCAGTGAAAATAACTGAAACTTCAGCAGTATCAAAAGCAGCTGGACAAAAGATTGGCAAATGAAGTGGAAATTGTATTAAACAAATACAAATTCTTAATATTTTTTTATAATTTCTCTTAGGAAGGGAAGCTAACCACTAATTAAATACCCCAATTTGTTAGATCTTATTCTTCCTGACAACTGGGGAGGGCTGGCTTAATTAATCAATTGTGTGCAGTTTTGTCTTGTGCCTTCTACCTCTCTTTTGAAGTCGCAGGTTGTTTCAAAATGAAAAATTGTGTCATGGAAAGTGAATATTCAACATTCACTAAAGAGAGCTCCGGAGCTCTTTGGGTTTGTGAAACTGGCCTTTGTGCAAAACTGTAGCTCCTTTGCCAAGTCAGAGCAATCCCCAGGCTCATGCACTTTATAAGATCTGTCAGTACCAGGGGACTTGCATGGGTTAGGGGTCTGTGTCTGAACTCCCAGGTTCCTTTATACTGGAAGCAAAGGGAGCAGATGAGATATCAAAAGATCCCATATGGTGACTACTGGTGACTACAGTTTTTCAAGACCACATTTCCAGAGAAATATTCTTTCCAGAGATGAAAAAACAGGAGTTCTGGGAAAAATTGTGCTGTTTATTTTACCCAGCAGTTACAACACCATGAGAAATCTGGACCATCACTGAACTGGTTCAGGTTGCCTGTTGGATCCCTGAAGCTGGAGGTTGTCCTGCCCACGAACCTTGGTCATCCATCAGTTGTCTCATTTCACCACTGACTTTCCATACTCATGATACTATCTTCAGGAGTGCTGGAGAGACACTGCCCCCAGGAGTGCTGTGTAGTCGTTTTACAGCTTTTTCCCAGATTTTATGCTCAGCTAGTTGCAGCATTGTTTCCTTTCCCTCCAACCCAAATTTTGGGCAGTTGCTCAATCAGTCCCTCATTGACTTAATCTAAGAGTTTTGTCTCTAGTCTTTATTAAAAATGCCAGTTAATCTTCTTTATTCTGCAGATGCTGCTTTTTAAAAAAAAAAGATTTTTCTTTCAACTGTGAAAAGAAAATGAATCATTTTAAAGATATTAATTTACCTCTGTGCAGTGGTAATGAACATTTCCCCTTATTTCTGGTACCCCACTGACAGCCTTTTCACTATTTTACGGGTTCCTGGACATGTTTCAATAGAAGAAGTAGGTTGGGGCACCTCTCAAGTCTCTTAGCTGGTACAGCCAGCACTTTATCCCTTTCTGAGATACTTTAATTCATTCCTCTATTTAACCAATTGTTCACACATAATTGCTCTATTTTCAGCATGAATATAATATTTGCTACCTTTTAATAAATTTTTATGAGCAATTTAAAAATATTCCCTGGTTCCAGCAGGGAGGTGGGGAACAGTAAGGTAATAGCATTGATATGACAGCTCTGAAACCTGCCCAATGAATTCCGTGCAGGTTGTGCCACTGCTGAAAGGACAGAGATATGATAGAGAAACAAAGCTAACATAAATAAGGAACTTCTGCTGTTGATACTGTTGGGGAGTATGTGTATGAGTTTCACACTACTGCTTATGTTTGACTACACTTGTATTAAAGAAACATAGGGAAAATACGAGCAGATGTGAAAAAAGAATTGGAGCACACAACTAGGAAAAAGCCAGATAGATGGTCTCTTCTGTTTCAAGTACTAGCGCCAGTCATGTTCCTAGTAGTTGGAAATGAATGGTCTAATGAGGACAAAGACATATTTTTGTTCTCTCAATGTGTTTCTTTTACAGCATCAATTTTTCTGCTACTGGAATCTTCGACCCTTCATATGAAGGCTGGGTCTGCTTCTCTGACTATATTGTTCTGTGATTACCATTTTAATTGTGTGGGAATGTTAATCTTTGGTGCATGTGTATCTTTTAAGTACCAGATGCTGTCCAGAATGTTCATTGTATTGCAACGAGTTGGCAATCAATCCTAGTGCAGTGGGACCCTCCTGCTTCATCCAATGGTCTAATTACTCATTACACCATAACAGTTGAAGGAAATTCTACAGATTTTTCATCTTATGATACATTGCATACTTTTAGAAATCTGCTTTCCGATGTTACTTATCAATTCAAAATAAAAGCTGCAACATCTGCTGGTGATGGTGAAGAACAGATATGCAATGCCAGTACGCTTCCAGAAAAAGGTAACAAATAAGTCAAGTTAATTCTTTTGTTTAATTTAAATGATGACTATGAAACAAGCAGACCTCAAATACCTGCTTCAATTCAGGCAGCTATATCCTTCTGTTGTTTAAATTTCATGCTAATAGTGGATGAGGAGAAGCAGGACTTCGTCTTTCTTCTGGTTTAGAATAAACTTGGTAATGAGAATGGAATTAATTGCCATTTTAAAAAGCACAGAGAAAGTACCTTTTTCTGTGTTGAGAACAAGAAAGCTGCTCACAATCTGTGCAACTAAAAAACGTTTAACTTCTTCAAGCAGGCTTTCATCGTAGCTCTTGGTGAGTAGGATTTTTTAACAACAAAGAAAATTGTGAGCTAAATAGAAAGACAAACATAGGCAGGGTTTTTGGCATTGTAGTAAAAAATTTTCACCCAAAATCTTATCTTCCTTTTGCTCTCCACGTACACTTCACACTTCACACTTCACCTGGTCCTGGCTGTGCTTTCATTTGGCATCTGAAACTTCCTTATGCACTCAGGGGTGAAATTCTTTGCAAAATACAGTATTGCTTCTGTGTAAATAGCTAGGTGCCTAGCTTCTATGCTGGAAGTGGAGAGAAGCCCAGTGCCCAGTCCAGGAAGTAAATGCCTGTTTCAGTTCTCTTCCCTAGCTAGGGGCAATTTCTATTCTTGTGATTATTTCTCATGTTTTTTCCTTCTTCAGTGATAGTTCAGTATAACAGTAAAAAGTAGGATCCAGAACAAGATCTCACCTTACCACTGAATTACAGGAGCAATTACTGCATTTAGTTGCTATTGCTGTTTCCTCTTCAGTGACATCAATTCGTGCAGTAGTGTTGAGGAGGTCTTTTAATTCTGAACAGCTGGATCATTAGGAAAATTGGGGGTGGGGCGGGAACAACTGTATCCCCTGATGTTTAGGAACCAAAACTAACTTTCGTAATACTTTAATTCTTAAGTTATCAAATAACTTAAAAGATAAACAGCAGCATTCTTTCACATATATATTTCAAATGAACGAGTGTGTTCTGCTCAGTTCTGTCAAATAATAGACAGAAGTGTCTGTGTCAGTGGGGAGTTTTAGGTTCTGGATGACAAGTGGAGGGGGGCAGCTCTAATATGCAGACTTGAATCAGACTTCTAAACTTGGAGGAGATGAGACTTACCCTTATGCTTTGACTTCCTGTTGGTAGCTTCCTGAGCATCATGCACCTCTTTAGGTTCCGCCTTTGGATCTCTCCTATTCGCAAAGCCTTAGTGCCCCACTCTGAGCTTTTATTTCCACACTTAAAATTAGACTTGTAGATGTACATGTCTGAATGAATCTAGACCACGTCTGTATCATCAGCTGAACTGCTGCTGCTCTGGTTCCAGATCAAATGGCTGAGCTCCAAATGAGGACAAGCAAAGCAGCCTCTTGCTGGCATAATGTGGCCAACATCATTAAAATAGCTGGGGTTGTACCTTGATGACTGCCCCTCCTCTAATACAGTCCATCCCACTAGAGACCGGCCCCATCCCCTGTTTGAACAATGAGGTGGTACCTCCATATGAGTTTCTAGTAAAAATGTTCTCTCTAAATTGGCTTTCTCATCAACAGCACCCCTACAAATTCAGCTGTTTTCTGATCCCTGCTGGTCCCCTCCTGTCTGTCTGCTTAGTGATTTAAGACTTCTGTCTGGGTCATCCACCCTCTTGTTTGCTCAGAAACTTCTGTCAATCAGTAGAGTTCAAAAGCTGCTTTTGAAGGAAACATTGTTTAAATATTAGTGATGAGCATGCTCTTATCTCACAGCATTGTCTGGAAATACTGTAGTGAGCTTAACCACTGTGCTGAATGTGGATGTGTGCGAGAGTGCACCTAAGTATACTTCTCAACTGCTGTCGTAACCCTCCACCCTTTCTTTTAAAGCAGGGCTGCTGAACAGCCAACCCTGAGCTCAAGACTGAAACTGGGGATGGGTGTACAGACAGGTGGGCTGATGCTCAATTAAATCTGGACCCATCCAAAACCCAAAGATTTTAGAGATAGTCTTATAGGACTGCTGCAGAGGAGACCAGGAGGCTTCCTAAGTAACCCACTTCTTGGAGGAGGGGGGGAGAGGCTTCTAGCAGTGTTAAAGAAGCCTGTCACCTGGACAAATTAATTGTTGGGATTTCTGAGAAATTTGGGGTTGGCTGTTGATTAGTGCTTGAGAAAAGCCTCTAGAAGATGTGGATGTGGGATTAAGCCTGGGTTTGAGAGACAGACTGCTAGTCTGTTGTGGTCTATATTAAATAGAGTTGTAGTACCAGGAGAAAAAAAACATGCTTTATTTTGTAACAACACGCGGCTTATATGTCTTATCACTGGGAGTTTTTCTAACTGAAGGATTTATAATACATGTATTCTTTGCCACATACACTACTCAGACTCTTTCTTGCTGTTTTAGCATTGCCTTACATGTTATTGCTTAGTCATATTTACAACAAACTAGTTATTATTAGGACATTTCCTTAATGGTGTGTTTGCATGAATTGTTTTGTGGTGACTGGGTACTAGGAATTGGAGATTCATGGTTGGGAATGGAAACAGTTTTATAGCTGTTGTCAGTTTCTTATTTATGGTGGTCTAAGATTAGTCACAGAATATGTAGCCAGCACTGAGTCACTGACGATGCATTTATTTCTGACATAAAGTGAAATCGAATTTGGCTCAGTGTCTCACTGCATAGTGTTTGACCTTTACATTCTTAGCAAGATTATTTGCCTTTCTTCTGAGGTAAATTTGTTTGTATCAGAGTACAATTAAACATGAATCATGAAGATTAAATTTACGAGGAGATTAGTAGTGTTTTGTGTCTAATCTAGCTCCATTGTCATGGTAAACCACCTCTGCCAGGCTGCAGTATGTTATAAAAATTGTCGACTTTGTAGTGGTAATATTACTTTGTGTTTAAATGTATTATACGGGGTATAAAAGATAATATAGCAATTACACATGCATAAATGAGTTAGTATTTTATGACTTAATAGCTATCCTTGGATTATTTTCAAGAAAATGCACATATTAAAATGAAATTTCATTAAGCTTGAGTGAGCTTTTAGAAGGGAGAAAGAGCCATAAAATGTTAGGAAACTTCTCCAAAGGCATGTGAAAGTTGTGAAGGTTCCATTAACTCACAAGTCTGAGACAAGTGTAATAGTCATTCAGCTAAGAATAAAAATTAAAAAATTTAAAAGTCACTTGAGGGGTTCAAAGCATGAATAATCAAAAGAAAACTGCTGCTGCTTCAATTTTTTTAAATTTAAATTTTTCTTCATAGAAAAAAAATTATTCTCTGAAAATATTGATCATATTGATGTAGTATTAAGACATGCAGAGTAATGTTTCCCTCCTTACTGCTAGTCCTACTTAATATTATAACTGAACACAGAATCTCTGAACAGGTTGAGACCCCATTGTACTATGGTGACAGGCCTTACCATTTGTTTTCTACTAAACAGAAATTAATTCATAATTTACATTTAAATATGGCTAAGAATTTCTCCAGGAAACATTTTTTAATTTAATCTGTGCTTAATTTTGCTGGCCGATTCTATCTTGTAGCTCTACGTAGAAGTATGCCTTGTGCATGAAGGAGAGTAGTGCCTAAAAGGTGGTAATGGGAAAATTTCTTAGGTCTTTTGGTGTGAAGGTGGCAGATTAACATCATCTGTAGTTACTTGTGTACAAAATGTCTTTCTTCACTGCACAGGCAAACCTTTAAAGATTGTGGGTTTGTACCTCCAGGAGGGAGGTGTCCATTGGAAACTGTGGGCCTTTTCTTCATCCAGGCCTGTGAGGAACACAAAACATAGCATGAGCTTAAAACCATTTTCACGTCCAAGAGGATGCTCTGTTCCTTCACCATAAATCCTTTTCTTAGGATGTGGCAGCTCATGGCAGCTGTGTGAGCTGGAGTTATATGAATTTCCTCATTAACTTGTGAAGAGAACTGCAGTTGACTATAATGCACTGGAAAAATCATTTAAGTCCATACCCTGCAGTGGCCCTTAGGGCCCCAGGTGTGATGTGCAGTGCAGTGTGTTGGCCTGGCTATCCAGAGGAATCAGCCTAATGCAGAACCACAGCACTGGAAATGGAAGTGCTTTGGTATCCCCTGTCACTACTACAGATAAGAGCAGTGTGTTTCACATGTTCAATCCATGCTGCAAGTTTATGTTTCCAAAATATTAAGGTAAAAGCATCCAAAAATTGTGGAGTGAATCATGACTAGGAATCTTTGAAACACTTCTTTCCAAGATGACTGAAACTGATTTTTTTTTAAACAGACTTGTATTGTCTTAATGTAATGTGGATTTTTTTTTATTTTCTTTTTTTAGATTTTATGATTAGTTCGTATGTCCAAATGTATGTTAATGGCTTTGATGTTCATGGCAAATCTTCACTAGACAGATGCAATGATCACTTTGTTGCTGCCAATGAAATTGCATTGATGTTATTTTTATAAGCAGATAGATAAAAATAGAAGAATCATATAGTGTAGGATGAAAGAAATATTCTTTTAAGGACTAAGTCAGCTCTAGATTAATGTATAAGAAATAGTGGTGACATATACATACAAAGTTGACATTGAAAGCATTTACAGGTCAAATAAATTGCTGAAAAGCAAACAGTGGTCCAGTTTGTCAGAAAGCTGAGCATTCTTATTTAAGACTCAAGTACTGACAGCTTTTCACTACTTTTCTAAGCTTAGCTTGAAGGTGTGCATTTCTCCTTAGATTTGTAGGATTTGATTTTTCAGTGCTTAGATCTCATAGTTAGAGACTGAATTTTCTAATGTGCTCAGGACTAAGACACACAGTCCTGAGCTTTTAAAAGACACATTCTCAACTGTGCAATTTCCTTTAAAGCGTGTCTGATAGTATCAGTCCTAAGTCATGGGAAAAATAGTCTACAGTTTTTTGCATTTTTATGTTAGTAAATTCATTTGGGACCTATTTGTGATGTCCTTGT